AATTTAGGAAGCAGATTTGAGTTCAGCGTCCCAAGACCTACACGTCGATATGCATCTCATCTTGAATGGCCATGGCGACCTGTTGACCTTTCCTGGTGAGAACATTCAAAGTAACGCGCGTGTTGCTGAGCAACTCATTTGCCGAACACACTGATCTGAGAGTTTATTCAAAGAACGTCCCATCGAATGCGACTTCACATGCATGAGTTCATTATTTGTGATGGTGGTATTGTCGTGTTGTGCAGCAAAATTTCAGTCGTGCTGCTTCAATATGCACCCTGCACAGCTCACCAAAAAGGCTCTTCAAATTCTGGGTGAGTTTCACATAGTATTTCGTTATTTCGTTAGTGGATATTGTAAGCTATATCACGACTTTTCACCTGCACTTGAAAAAAGGATATGGATCTTTTTTTACATCCTGTAATTCTTTCTAGCGCTGTTCTGGACTGGAAAGCTCTAATCGGAGACTAGTCAGACTTTGAGCACGTATGTACTTCATATCCCGGAAATGCGAGAATGTGGCTGCTTACTTGGGCGCTGTTTAGCGACGGGGGGGGGGCATTTTGTACTAACATTGCTTCCCTAGTTCCGGTTTACGAATCTCACCATGGTAAAACTTGTGAACGCCTGTGAAGCTGGAGTAAGATCGTCTAGCCACCATCCTAAAACGTGTCAACTCGAGAAAAGGCTACCTAGATGGGTCGGCACATCTATGAAAAGCCGAATGCCCCCGTCGACAAACTGCGCCCTTACTTCGTATGAACTTAGCTCTTTTATCAGATCAATAGAAGGTAACAGGAAGTGATAGCAGCCGATAAGACGTGATAAGGGGAAAGGGAGGTCACCATAGTCATGGCGTCAGTCACAGGAGCAGTGGCGCCGCGGTTCCAACAAGGTGACCTCGAATGGGCGATTGGAATATGGATGATTCGGCACAAAAAGTAATAACAGCAGATAAAGGCTGTTGGCGACACGTCCTAACAGCAAAATCCACTCGAAATGCTGTCTTTCGAGGGCAACTGTAATCATCTCGTTGTGCACAATGCAGCATGAGAGTTGTCTTGAAGGCACTCCCCGCGCTCAAGCAATTGGTAGGCGTCATTCCTTGCTCAGTTAGTATGGCCCTCAGTTCCTTAGTATGACTGTGCCACTTTCGCGGCTTTCACAGGAAGTAGCGAAGGTGTCGCTGTCCTCATAAGTGGCGGTTCTGACCTAGTGGCCACCATCGTTTCTCCCTCCCACCAAAACTCAAGGAATATAATTCAATCACGAGTTCAGTCTTTAAACCGGGTTTT